ATTTTATCCTTCTGTGTTTTTTTTCCTGGTTCCTTCTTTTCTATTTTCGTTCATATTCTTATAGGTATGGACAGTTGTGTGGTTTGATTGATGGGTCATTCCTTTGTTTACTGGGCTGTATGCAAAGCTGAAGTTCAAAGAAGCAGTTTGCAGCTGGGTTTTTTGCACTTGTTACATATGAAAGTCCTCTGGATTTGTTAGTTATTCTTGCGGATGGCAAAAACATGGGCAGTACACCTACATTATGTGGCATCTTATAGGGGCAATTAAGTCTGACCTGGTTTATTTGTGGTCCTTACTTCCCTTAATGCTTGAGGTGACTGTAATTTTATGGTTGGAAATTCTTCCCAGGTTTCAAAGGCAAGGGATAACAAAGCAGTGAAAACAAAGCAGTGAACAAAGCTTGTATAGAAATCAATAGGGCCATATCCAAATGTATTTTACAACACTGTGGTTTTGTAGTATGCCATGTTGAATTAGAGTATCAGAGAAAGTACTGTAAGCAGGATGGTGTGCATTCAAATAATGTCGGCCTTGATATGTTCACTTTACACTTTCAGGAGTTACTTGAGATCATGTGCTTTGGCAGTCAGACTGACAATGAGATACCTGTATCATTGGCAGACTGAGTTGGCGATGTCCCTTGGCTGAGTGAGATGGCAGTAAAATAGATGTAGCAGTAGCACAGCTTGGAGGTGTTTGAAAAGGGCTAGCTGGTCTTGGCAAAAATAACAAACTTAGTAGTCACTAATATTAGTGTAGGACCAGGAACATAGATTCCATAATTAACAATATGCTCCTTTTGTCAGGTTTGCCGGATGGTGCTATGTGCAGAAAGACAGCCATGATTACACGTCTCTCCTGTGATTCATTTAGGTTGAATCACTAATCTGTATTATGCAAAGGGTGGCGTTTGTACTCTGACATGGGACTGAAAATAGTGAAGCTTTATCTCTGCTGTGGGAGTTGCTATTAAGACCAGTGTCTGATAACACTGTTCAACAGGTAAAAAGTTTTTGGGCATAAAATTAGCTAATCTTACATAATTTTGGGGTGCTGAAAACGAAAATGACCCTAAAAAATGTTGATTGGCTCTAGTTTCCATGATATATTCACCCATCTAATGACGTAAGCCATTCAAAATTATGATGCAACTTCAGCTGCATATTGCGCAATTGATACTGGTGACCAATAGAAAATTGCATTTATACTGAGATGATGCAATATTAGCCTTTAATTGCATCACTTCACTGCATAAAAGCTGCAGTATCTGTAGCTGATTGTAGTTCGACAGCGTCTTTACATTTCGTTTTATGCTTATATAGGCTACTCAGTAATGCCTCGAACTTGTGTGAGTAAAGCAGATAATTTCTGCTATATCTGCGGTGAAATAACTTTTATCTCACAAAAAAGGAGGATAACAGGAATGATTAAGAAAGCCTACAACTTGTATTTTGGCTGCAAGATAGGAGACCAGGACAAGAGCTGGGCACCACATATATGCTGCAATTCTTGTGGGACGGCACTGGAGCAATGGTTGAATGGAAAAAAGGCATCTATGCCTTTTGCTGTGCCAATGATTTGGAGAGAGCCAACAGATCATGTTAGTAATTGTTACTTTTGTATGGTGCCTCCAATTGTAAAAGGGCTAAATAAGAAGAAAAAGTTATCTGTGCACTATCCAAATATTCCATCGGCAATACGTCCAGTTCCTCATGGAGAGGGGCTACCAATTCCTAAAGCACCAGAATCCTTCGTGGTTGAGTCAAGTGAGGAAGAACCTGAAGCGTGTAGTCACGTGCAGTTGTAAGAGATTAGCCCTTTCCTCGAATACAAGAGAAAAGCCAAGAGAAGCAAAACCGACACAAACTGAAGACAAAACTAGTGAGAATCCTAAGTATTAAAATGATTCAACTTAGCTTATGGCTATAATTTTTCTTGGTAATCCTATGCAATATATTATGCCATTTAGGCTTTGTTATGTAGTCAATATCACTTGCTTTATATTTGTGGAAAGACATCTATCTATATAATTATTGTGCATTATGTAGTCATTACGCCTATAGTAGAAAACTTTCCGTTTACAGAAAAACTAGAGCCAATTGACAAATTTCATTGTTATATTTGAACTCCGAATGTGAAATTCATTAAGAAATGGATCCTTTTGTTTCCAAAACTGGCAAAAAATAAAAATTTGTTGAACAGTGTAATAGCTCTTCTAACTGATCTCTATTGCTTTTTTGCCATATGGCTGCTGCTACCCCTCTGTTTCTCATACAGCAGCTTATTGTCAGCAGAGTTTTATACAGGGGAACATTTAATGAAGAGGTGGGTAAATTTGGAGCTGCAGGTTGGCCCCCTGGAAATTTACTGGGCTCAAGCAGCTCTCATGGTTTCTGGGTGATCCAGCTTCACAACTCTGGAAATTTGCCTTTCAGTTTTATGTCCAATGGTTTAAAGTCACACTCTCTAAACATTTATTAGTAAGCAGGGTTAACTTAAAGTTAAAATAATACACTTTTTTTCATAATAACTTACAATTAAAAAATGTAAAAAAAATGTAAGATAGTAAGCATGTATCTACTAAAAAAAGCAAGAAAAAAGTAAAATGTAATGAATCATAAGAAAAGCGAAACTAACATGCTTGATAGAAATTCTTGAAGGAAGCTTGCCCTTTTGATATTGATTTAATCCTCTTACAAATGATAACCATTTTCAAGTAACAATTTTACCTTAACTGTTATTATCTCCCTGAGTGTTAATGTTTTTTCAGGGCACTGTATATATTATTTAAATAGAGTTGTTTTACTAGAAAATAATCAGCATTGTATGTTAGACAAATAACACAAATACAAAAAGATAGTTTACGTAGATTTTTTTTAACAGCTGTTAAAAAATAATTTTTACAGTGTTTCTTATATATTTTAAATGCTTACATTAGAATTGTTTCCTTCTTTTTACTGCAGTTTTTTGTGTGTTTAATTTTTTACACAAAAAAATTTAAAATTTTGTTGAAGCGTAGCAATAACAGCAATGTAACATAGTTGGCATTAGTTTTTCCTCGTGATGATGATGGTTTGGAGTTAGAAATTAACAAAACAATAAATGTTTAAAAATAAAGATCACTGGATACATATTTTTAATTCATACCTGTCTGGAAGTTGGTGAGTCTTATCTTAGCATTGTTGAAGAGTTACAGCGCCGACAAAGACTCCATCCTTCATTTCCTATTTTACTACTGTGTCCTGTAGTAATATAGGAGCTAGCAAATGGACCAAAGAGCATAGCTGGGTAACGTAATCCTGAATAGAAGTCTTTTTTAGAATCTGTAGCTTTTCAACAGAATCAAAAAAGGATCACTACCCATCAAACTAGTAAGTATTAACAATCTTTATTCAAAGGGGCCGTTTTTAATTAAATAAAATAATGTTGACAGTGTTGGTATAAGGTTTTTGTGTGGATAAATGAAGGAAGAATGAAGGATAGGAGTCAAAGGTAGATAGGAGAGAACCTGTATGGAAGACTGGGCAAGCTTGAAGACCGGGTACTACATCCTGTCCAGCTACTCGTAAGAAAATTCAACTTTTTAGAAAAGTACATAAAAGTAGTTTACACCCAAGACAAAGCAACAAGCCAAGACTGCAGTGAAGAAATAACTAACATCCAAATGAGTAATAAAATGAAACAGCATCAAATCAGAAGTGCAAACACTCTTCTTTTAATAATTAGAGATGAGCGAAGAAATGAAAAATTCGATTCGACTGATTCGGCGAATTCGTGGACAATATTCGATTCGAGTCGAATAAATTCGCTGTGAATTTAACTTAAAAAAGGGTGTTTCTAGGCTTCAGAGAGACTTAATATTAGTGCAGAACACTGTACCTTTAATTTAAATGCCCTTGGAGTCTGCTGGGGAAGAGAAATAATACTGTCAGTCAGTATGACATGCAGATGAGTGCCGTCGATCTTAGAATCACCGCACACTTCACTCATTTGGGCAGTCACGGGGCCAAAACCAGAGTGTGGAGCCACAGTGTGGCGGTGGAGGCAGCAGCAATGGGAGGCCATACAGCACCCTATGACAAAAATGGAAACCACCAGCAGTGTGAGGAGACCTGAAAGTGGCACATGGCAGAGTGTGGCGATAGAGACAGCAGCAATGGGAGGCCGTACAGGGACCCATGACACACTCTGGACCTGGCAGCAGCATGAGGAGGCGGTACAGGGGCCCATGACAGATTACGGGCCTGGCAGCAGCATGAGGAGTCGGTACAGGGGCCCATGGCAGATTACGGGCCTGGCAGCAGCAATGGGAGGCCGTACAGGGACCCATGACACACTCTGGACCTGGCAGCAGCATGGGGAGGCGGTACAGGGGCCCATGACAGATTACGGGCCTGGCAGCAGCATGAGGAGTCGGTACGGGGGCCCATGACACACTCTGGACCTGGCAGCAGCATGAGGAGGCGGTACAGGGGCGCATGACAGATTACGAGCCTGGCAGCAGCAACTTGGACAGGAGGACGTTCAGCTTCTGCACCGTCGGGTGCGTGCTCGCAAACTGTTGTCTCTTGGAAACGGATTCCAAGAAAGACTGCTGACGGAATCCGTGAAGAGGAGTAGCAGGAGAAGGAGCATCTGAACGAGCGGAATATGCCAACAAGCGACAACAGTGGCCCATGACAGATTACGGGCCTGGCAGCAGCATGAGGAGTCGGTACGGGGGCCCATGGCAGATTACGGGCCTGGCAGCAGCTATGGGAGGCCCGTAATCTGCCAGCACCCTATGACAAAAAATGGAACCCACCAGCAGTGTGAGGAGACCTGAAAGTGGCACATGGCAGAGTGTGGCGATGGAGACAGCAGCAATGGGAGGCCGTACAGGGACCCATGAGAGACTCTGGACCTGGCAGCAGCATGAGGAGGCGGTATAGGGGCCCATGGCAGATTAGGGGCCTGGCAGCAGCTATGGGAGGCCCGTAATCTGCCAGCACCCTATGACAAAAAATGGAACACACCAGCAGTGTGAGGAGACCTGAAAGTGGCACATGGCAGAGTGTGGCGATGGAGGCAGCAGCAATGGGAGGCCGTACAGGGACCCATGAGAGACTCTGGACTTGGCAGCAGCATGAGGAGGCGGTATATAGGGGCCCATGGCAGATTAGGGGCCTGGCAGCAGCTATGGGAGGCCCGTAATCTGCCAGCACCCTATGACAAAAAATGGAACACACCAGCAGTGTGAGGAGACCTGAAAGTGGCACATGTTTGGGGCATGATTCATGGCGGATTTAGTCAGTTGTGTCAGGAACTGGTGGTTTGAAATCCAGACTAATCCACGCCTGATTCATTTTCACAAACGTGAGTCTCTCCACACTTTGGGTGGACAGTCGTGTCCTCCGCGGAGTTGCAATACCTCCTGCCGCACTAAACACGCGCTCCGATGCCACGCTACTGGCCGGGCATGACAGCCTTTCAAGGGCAAATTCAGCTAGTTGGGGCCAAAGGTCAAGTTTCGTTGCCCAGTAGTCAAGGGGATTGTCTACCTCGGTTGGCAGGGTGCTGTCCAAGTAGGCCTAAGCCTGTTGTTTGAGGTCCTGCTCCAGGTCCACCTGATGCTGCTGCTGCTGCTGCGGCTGGTTAGTAGTTTCCTCACTGCGCTGGTGAAGAAAGCTACTCATCATCGACTGCAGACTGAGGCAGCCGCTGCTGGTGGAGCTGCCACTGCTCCTACCACCCCACCCTCCCCTGCTGCCATGGCAGCAGGAACACGACGAGCGCACAGGGCCCACAGTGTCTGAGGATGGACGTTGGCGCAGACAGGCAGAGAGACCAGCTGACTACATAGGTGTTTTTTTATAGTACGTTATTTTGGCCTCCCTCTCAGCAGGTGTGAAAAAGGCCACCATTTTTGAACGGTAGCGAGGGTCCAACAAGGTGGACAGCCAAAAGTCATCCCTCTGTCTGATGGTTATTATTCGCTGTCGCTACGCAAGCAACGGCGAGCATGCTATGGGCCATTTGTGCCAAGGAATGCGAGGGACTCCCTGCCTCCATCTCCACAGCATACTGCCACGGTGCGTCTAGGTCCTCTGTCTCCTCTTCCTCCTCCTCTACCAGATGCTCCTGCTCCTCCACTCCTGTCCGCTGAGTGGAAAAAAACCACCCATTTCACTCAATAATTCCTGAGCACCAATGTCCTCCTCTACCTCCTCCTCTTCTTCCAGTCCTGCCCCCACAGGGGCCATGTGGCGTTGAGATCTGTGCGCCACGTCTACCGCACCCTGACCAGCCATTGTTAACAGCATTTGTTCCAGGACGTGCAACAGAGGAATGACGTCGTTCATCCCATAGTCCTGCCGACTCACGAATAGCGTGGCCTCCTCAAAGGGCCTGAGCAAGCGCAGGTGTCACGCATGAGCTGCCAATGGCTGACATCTAAGTTACACAGGGAGTACCTTTATCTGCTTTTTAAATCAGGAAATCTGTGATGGCCTTTTGCTGTTCGTAAAGGCGGTCTAACATATGTAGGGTTGAATTCCACCTTGTTGCAACGTCACAGCATGAGGAGTCGGTATAGGGGCCCATGGCAGATTAGGGGCCTGGCAGCAGTTATGGGAGGCCAATCATAATCTGCCAGCACCCTATGACAAAAAATGGAAAACACCAGCAGTGTGAGAGACCTGAGGAGACCTGAAAGTGGCACATGGCAGAGTGTGGCGATGGAGACAGCAGCAATGGGAGGCGTACAGGGACCCATGAGAGACTCTGGACCTGGGCAGCAGCATGAGGAGGCGGGCGGTATATAGGGGCCTATGGCAGATTAGGGGCCTGGCAGCAGCTATGGAGGCCCGTAATCTGCCAGCACCCTATGTCAAAAATTCAACACACCAGCAGTGTGTGAGGAGACCTGAAAGTGGCACATGGCAGAGTGTGGCGATGGAGACAGCAGCAATGGGAGGCCGTACAGGGACCCATGAGAGACTTGGACTTGGCAGCAGCATGAGGAGGCGGCGGTATATAGGGGCCCATGGCAGATTAGGGGCCTGGCAGCAGCTATAGGAGGCCCGTAATCTGCCAGCACCCTATGTCAAAAAAATTCAACACACCAGCAGTGTGAGGAGACCTGAAAGTGGCACATGGCAGAGTGTGGCGATGGAGACAGCAGCAATGGGAGGCCGTACAGGGACCCATGACAGACTCTGACTTGGCAGCAGCATGAGGAGGCGGTATATAGGGGCCCATGGCAGATTAGGGGCCTGGCAGCAGCTATAGGAGGCCCGTAATCTGCCAGCACCCTATGTCAAAAAATTCAACACACCAGCAGTGTGAGGAGACCTGAAAGTGGCACATGGCAGAGTGTGGCGATGGAGACAGCAGCAATGGGAGGCCGTACAGGGACCCATGACAGACTCTGGACTTGGCAGCAGCAGATGAGGAGGCGGTATATAGGGGCCCATGGCAGATTAGGGGCCTGGCAGCAGCTATGGGAGGCCCGTAATCTGCCAGCACCCTATGTCAAAAAAATTCAACACACCAGCAGTGTGTGAGGAGACCTGAAAGTGGCACATGGCAGAGTGTGGCGATGGAGACAGCAGCAATGGGAGGCCGTACAGGGACCCATGACAGACTCTGGACTTGGCAGCAGCATGAGGAGGCGGTATATAGGGGCCCATGGCAGATTAGGGGCTGGCAGCAGCTATGGGAGGCCGTAATCTGCCAGCACCCTATGTCAAAAAATTCAACACACACCAGCAGTGTGTGAGAGACCTGAAAGTGGCACATGGCAGCAGAGTGTGGCGATGGAGAGACAGCAGCAATGGGAGGCCGTACAGGGACCATGACAGACTCTGGACTGGCAGCAGCATGAGGAGGCGGTATATAGGGGCCCCATGGCAGATTAGGGGCCTGGCAGCAGCTATGTGGAGGCCCGTAATCTGCCAGCACCCTATGTCAAAAAAATTTAAACACCAGCAGTGTGAAGAGACCTGAAAGTGGCACATGGCAGAGAGTGTGGCGATGGAGACAGCAGCAATGGGAGGCCGTACAGGGACCATGACAGACTCTGGACTTGGCAGCAGCATGAGGAGGCGGTATATAGGGGCCATGGCAGATTAGGGGCCTGGCAGCAGCTATGTGAGGCCCGTAATCTGCCAGCACCCTATGTCAAAAAAATTTAACACACCAGCAGTGTGAAGAGACCTGAAAGTGGCACATGGCAGCAGAGTGTGGCGATGGAGACAGCAGCAATGGGAGGCCGTACAGGGACCCATGAGAGACTCTGGACTTGGCAGCAGCATGAGGAGGCGGTGGTATATAGGGCCCCATGGCAGATTAGGGGCCTGGCAGCAGCTATGTGAGGCCCGTAATCTGCCTGCACCCTATGTCAAAAAAATTAAACACCAGCAGTGTGAAGAGACCTGAAAGTGGCACATGGCAGCAGAGTGTGTGGCGATGGAGACAGCAGCAATGGGAGGCCGTACAGGGACCCATGACAGACTCTGGACTTGGCAGCAGCATGAGGAGGCGGGTATATAGGGGCCCATGGCAGATTAGGGGCCTGGCAGCAGCTATGTGAGGCCCGTAATCTGCCTGCCAGCACCCTATGTCAAAAAATTTAACACACCCTCAGCAGTGTGAAGAGACCTGAAAGTGGCACATGGCAGCAGAGTGTGGCGATGGAGACAGCAGCAATGGGAGGCCGTACAGGGACCCATGACAGACTCTGGACTTGGCAGCAGCATGAGGAGGCGGTGGTATATAGGGGCCCATGGCAGATTAGGGGCCTGGCAGCAGCTATGTGAGGCCCGTAATCTGCCAGCATGTCCCTATGTCAAAATTTAACACACCAGCAGTGTGAAGAGACCTGAAAGTGGCACATGGCAGCAGAGTGTGGCGATGGAGACAGCAGCAATGGGAGGCCGTACAGGGACCCATGACAGACTCTGACTTGGCAGCAGCATGAGGAGGCGGTATATAGGGGCCCCTGGCAGATTAGGGGCCTGGCAGCAGCTATGGGAGGCCCGTAATCTGCCTGCACCCATATTATGTCAAAAAATTAACACACCAGCAGTTGTGAGAGACCTGAAAGTGGCACATGGCCTCCAGATTGTGGCGATGGAGACAGCAGCAATGGGAGGCCGTTTACAGGGACCCTGACATTCCCCCCACCTTATCAGCCCTTCCATATCATTCCATTCATTCCTCCCCCTTCCCATTTCCTTAACACACTTTTCCCCCTTCCTCAACTTTTCCATTCCTCCTCACATATCTTCCCTACCACATCCATCCCCCCACATACCCCCCCCCCAACCCCCCCCCCCCCCTCCTATATCCTCTCCATCCCTATTCCCCATTCCTCTCTATATATTCTCATTCTCCCCCCTCCCATTTCTTCTACCTTTCCCCATCCCTCCACATTCCAATTCCCTCCTCATCTTCTTCTTTACACACTTTTCCCCATTCTCAACTTTTCCATTCCTCCTCACATATCTTCCTACCACATCCCCCCCATACATACCCCCCCCAACCCCCCCCCCCCCCTATATCTTCTCCATCCCTATTCCCATTCCTCTATATTCTCATTCTCCCTCCTCCCCAT